ATTTTAGTAGCAGGAAGATATTGTTTCAATCAACATGCTCCAAAAATTTGGCATAAATCGGGTTTTCTCGAACGAAGTTACAAACATTCAAAATCCCGATAAAAAGAAGAATGGTTCATTTTTAAGGTAAATTTTTTTATATTTCTCAGTTGATAATCAAAAAAGTATTTAAATAATAATAAAGTGTATTTAAAATACTTATTATTTAAATAATTCTGATTTACGAAAATTGAATTACTTTGTCAAAAAAAATTGTTAAATATGATCGATTTTTGACATTTCATACAGAAACTTAAATAACATATTTTACAGTTTATTATAAATTATTTGATACTTTTATCAAGTTCAAATCACAAATTAAGTCTTTAAAAATAAATAGCAATCGCTTTTTTTATATTTCTTAAAGAGAATACTCCTTTTTTAAATATTTTGTAATGCCTGTCAATGTAACCTTTTTTCATGTACTCTCAATTTATAATATATTTTTTTATATAAAATGAAATTATTTTTTACAAATCATTGTGCATTTCGTAATCCCAAAACATGTAAGAATATTTTCCCGAAGTATTGAAATTTTTTATAAAGGTAAAAAATACATTAGGCGAAATAAAATGGTTTGACCCATTTGCTAATGTTCAAATTTTATTAAAAAAGTTAAATGCATAGTTTAGGGACCTGCATCAAATCAGAATTTTTAAGCTAGAAATATATTTGCTAAATTTTTAAACCCTCTTATTAACTAACTAATAAATAAAGTAAGAAATGATATAGATTGCAATTTAGCTAAAAAGTTTTTGCTATTCTTTGAATTGTATTAAAAAACTTAGATGCATAGTTTGGGGACCTGCATCAAATCGGAGTTTTTAAGCTAAAAATATCTTAGATAAACATTTAAACCCTTTTATCAACTAACTTATAAATAATGTAAGAAATGTTATAGATTGATATTTAGCAAAAAAGTATTTGCTATTGTTTAAATTGTATTAAAAACTTAAATGCATAGTTTGGGGACCTGCATCAAATCGGAGTTTTCAAGCTAAAAATATATTTGTTAAATATTTGAACCCTCTTATCAACTAACTAATAAATAAAGTAAGAATTTTTATAAATTGCAATTTAGCTAAAGAGTATTTGCTAATGTTTAAATTGTATTAAGAAAGTTAGATGCATAGTTTAAGACATGCATCAAATCGAAGTATTTAAGCTAAAAATATATTTGTTAAATATTTGAACTTTGTCATCAACTGACTAATAAATAAAGTAAGAAATGATATAGATTGCAAATTAGCTAAAAAGTATTTGCTAATGTTTAAATTGTATTTAAAAAGCTAGATGCATAGTTTCGGGACCTGCATCAAATCAGAGTTTTTAAGCTAAAAATATATTTGTTAAATATTTGAACCCTCTTAACAACTAACTAATAAATAAAGTAAGAAATGTTATAGATTGCAAATTAGCTTAAAAGTATTTGCTAATGTTTAAATTGTAATAAAAAACTTAGATGCATAGTTTAGGGACCTGCATCAAATCGGAGTTTTTAAGCTAAAAATATCTTAGATAAACATTTAAACCCTCTTATCAACTAACTTATAAATAAAGTAAGAAATGGTATAGATTGCTATTTAGCAAAAAAGTATTTGCTATTGTTAAAATTGTATTTAAAAACTTCGATGCATAGTTTGGGGACCAGCATCAAATTGAAGTTTTTAAGCTTAAAATATATTTGTTAAATATTTGAACCCTCTTATCAACTAACTAATTAATAAAGTAAGAATTTTTATAAATTGCAATTTAGCTAAAGAGTATTTGCTAATGTTTAAATTGTATTAAGAAAGTTAGATGCATAGTTTGGGGACATGCATCAAATCGAAGTATTTAAGCTAAAAATATATTTGTTAAATATTTGAACTTTGTCATCCACTGACTGTTACGTATGACTTCGTAACATTTTTATATTTTTAGTAAAAAACATATTGTATTTAAATGAACTGAATAAGCATTTATTCATGTCGATTTATGACGTAACAATCACACTTTTAACACATGATGACACTTTGTAACACACATATTACAACATTCAGTAAGGAATTTTGTATTAAGATCTAAATAATGAAATGAAGATTGTGATACTTTATAATGTGCAAAACTGTGTCAAATATTCTTTAAGAGTAAGTAGAATTTACTTACGATATTTCTCAATGTAAAAAGTGGTTCATCCAAGCAACAGAACTTGGGTAATGACATTCAAACAAATCTGCAATGTAGCAGATAATCATTAAGTAATAACTTAATAATAAGTAGGTCTTTTCCACCAAAATGTCGTTCAGTAAAAAGAATCGACAAAGGGAAATCATGGCAGTTGCTTGTGAATCTTGGCGAAACAAAGTATGTTTGCCCATAGTAGCCGAAGCTAGGCAAAAGTTGCCTTTACGTCTCAAGAAGGGACTCTAGAGATTTTCATTGAGTGATTTAAAAAGAGTAATTGACATAGTATTTTTATATGTGAAAAATACTTAAAAAAATTAAAAAGATAATAATAAAATAAATCTTGATATAAGGTTCCACACACTACAACACAGTTAAAGTGAGTATACTGAATACGCAAACACAAAAAGTACACATACACAATTCATTATCATAAACGATTGTTTTCAATATATAATAAAGTTTGTCATTTAATATTATTTTATTGCTGATTTTATTTAAAAATTAGATTATCCTATTAATAAATTCATTCCTTTCCAAAATACGGTCTCTCACCCGATTGGTTGAAATGATAACCAAGAATAAAAAGGAATCCACTACCTTTAAATAAAATTATTTGTTTTCTTAGAGCATTGACGTTCACTACGGGGTGAAATAATTTAAATATTTAATATTTTATTAAATAATAAATAAATTCATTCTTAACAAATTGGTGGCAGCGGTGGGATTTCTTTTCTTTATTTTGGAGGATTAAAATTTAAAGATAAAAATTGAGTATAACAAACTAACTTACACTTTACACAAATACTAATTAATAGATCTGATTTTTCTCAATGATGTTGAATTTTTATACGTGAAGACTAATATAATTATTGTTTTCAGGAAATTACAATAAATATAGTGCGTGTTTTAAAATTTAAAAATAGTAACCACCCTTGCGACGGCAAGCTCTGGTTCCTTTAATAAATCGGTTGATTTCTCTGATTTAACCTTGCCGGAAGTGTGTAGCCACTTGGGCAAGTGAAGGGATTAACATTTAAAAAAAAATTTATTACGGATTCGAACAATTTAAAATATTTTGTTTAGCGATAAAAGAATTTAAAAATAAAATAAAGTGTTTGTCAACACATTTATTTCCTTACGTTTCTTATATGCAGAAATTGGAGGTAGCACAGAAGATATTTAATAAGTTAACGGAAAATGTAGTGTAGAAATTATTTAAAATAAAACACAATATTTTTAACGCGTTAATATTGTGGGAATAAAATATTCGAATTTCGCAAAATAAAGCTGCAGATTTATAAAATAGAGATTCGCGGAAAATAAAAATTAGATATACCTAATTTAAGAACAATATTTACACAGATACAAGGAGTTGTATCTAACTTATAATACTTTGGGTTAAAATAAAAACAGAGCCCCTTTTTTTAAGTTAGACTGTTATCTATAAGATTTCAAGTTTTTATTATGATACAAATTAACTGAAATAAATTTGGTCAGTATTAAGAACTTTAAGCAAGGTGTCGAAATATGAAACGGGGTTAGGTTACAGCACAAAGCCGAGCGTACGCGAGTAGTAAGCATCAATGAAATTTCGCAAGACCGAATATTGTATGTAGTATTTTCTTTAAAAGAGAAATATCAGCTTGATATTGTTTTGTAAGAATTATAAATCGAAATTATACATGAAAACGATTTTAAAGGTAGCCTTGAAAAATAAATTCCGAGTTAACAAAATAAGAGAATAAGAAGTGACAGATTTAAAAAAAACAATATTTATCTAAATAAATTAGACTATCGATTTAATGACATTGAGAAATAATATTTAAAGTAAAATTTTCTTTTAAATCTTTGTTTGTTCCTCATGAAATATTATTTAAAAAAAAATAATATTATTTTATTTGGTTAAAAAAAACCTCCCCAAAAGTACAGAAGTGTGATTCAATATATTTCTAATTTATTAAAGATTTATTGTACCATTCATACGCTCAACTTTTAAGTACGCTTAGAATTTATTTCTTCAAGCGAAAATAAAAGTTTTTGTAGCATTGAATATTCTGTAATTTTGTATTTGAATGAATCTGTTTAATATTATTTAAATGTAAAATTTTAATTAATATTGAAATAAGTCATACATCTCACAACGGACCATAGTCTCCCCGTACCGTTGTTAGTAGAGTTTGACATTCGTTCCCATATGCCTAAGCAAGAAGCATTTATTACGTTTAAACAGAAATTTGTTCAAGTAGAAGTTTAGAAGTAAAATTAAATTAAAAAAAAAAAAATATTGTAAATTGAGGGATTTTATATCAATATTAATAAAAGAAATATGTCACTAAGGAAGTGGATTAAATTAAATATTTACAATATAAAAGATACCTAAGAATGTCGTAATACGGTATGGCATCATGTTGCAGACACAAAGCCATTTTTACGCAAATTGGGCAGGAATGAATTTTTTTAGTACAGATAGTTTGACATTCATTTTTTAGAAATTAATTTAATAATTTCTCAAATTTGTGATTTTTACTAGATTTGCGCAAGACGACATAACAAAAAAAATAAAAACCTGTGATAGTGCTATTTTTTTATTTTTTTAATAGGAATACTAAAAAATAATATCGTGAAAAATTAGTGTAAACTTTCAAGATGAATGGTTATTAGGTTACAATATCAAGACAATGCATATTTTGAACGCTAAAATAATTAAAAACGAAGTACAGATGCGTTAAAAAAAATGAAGAAATGAATTATTTACTATTCATCTATTATATTTAAATAATATAGAATGAACAATGTCATTGTACTCAAAATTGTTACTTAGTGGTGACATAGAAAGCTGGAAATCGGAAGGATGCAGTTTTAAAATAAGGGATCGTAAATATGTTTACAAAAATGGAGAGTATGAAAAGCAACATCAAGACAACCATAACCTGGGAAAAGAGGATCATAGAAAGAAAGAAAATTGTTATGAACAATATTTTGATGATTTTAAAGAGCAGGCTGATTACGAGAATCAATATTATTGCCAAAATGAAAACAAACAATTTAATGAGTATGGACAAGTTACACCCAATAGTTACAAACAACCATGGAACCACCAACGGCGAAAAAAAAATCAACGACAGAGTCAACGATTCAATAGCAGAATCTATAGTAATAACGGTATCAACAACCAAAATATAAACATGAATTTCAGAAAAAATTATCAAACTATGACATCACAGGGATACGAAAAAGGAAATTTCTATAACAGCGATAGGAATTTTAAAGAGTATAACATCGATTCAAGAAATTTACAATATAGATTTGCGGAAGAAGAACAAGAATTTAATGTCAGAAATGAATACAGAAGATACAACGATATACAAGATGATTATAGAATAGAGCGGCAGAAGGATTATGAATATACTGATTACGAAGAATCGTATATAAATTAGGAGGAACCATCTTTTAAAAATAATTATTTCGAAGTAAATAATTTTGTAGAAAATAGATCTAAATTTGAAAGAATACATGATTATGATTTCGTAACACCACCAATTCGTTTTAAAGATTCGTCTACAAACCAAAACTCTTTAGAGGATGAAAAACAATCTGATTATAATGTCTCACCCTCTGTAAATGAACCACAACTTGAAACAGAAAGCGAAAAATCAAGCGAAGAAGAAGAAAACATTAGTATTATTAACATTAATAATACAAAAAATCTGAAAGAAGAAAGAACTCAAGAGCAATTACGCAGCAAAAATGAAGAAGGAAGAAAATTAGAAGAATTTAGGGATGCAACAATAAATCAAAATGCCAAACATCCAATAGAAATGTCACATAAAGACGAAAATCCTGCAAGGAATATGACAATTTCTTCTGTCACGAGTGTAAATCAAGAGATATTAGAAGAGGTCCAAACTTTAAACAGAAAATCTGACAACTTTGTATCAATAATTCAAGATTATTCTGAGGAAAAACGGCTACTAATAATAAATGAAGACAATGAGACAGAGAATGTACCAGATGGATTTACAATTGAAATGAAAAGTGATAAACTGGACACGGAAAGTAATGAAAAGATGACGACATTAAACAGTGACACTCAGCAAAATTTGCGTTTACCAGGGTCAATGTCATTCGTATGGGAAGTCAATTTAGTAAAACCGAAATTAAAAGTTGTTAATAAAAGAAAATGGGTTCATAAAATCCAAAAAGAAAGGTCAAATGTGAAAGGTCATTTGAAAAAAAATTAAATGCGTTTTATTTTGAGGAAAATAAAAAATTATGAGACAAAACATGGAGGGAATTAGAAACAAGAGTTAAATCAGAGAGGTTAGGAATAGGTTAGACATAGGTAAACTTAAGCAGGGGGATCATAATGTAATTTTAAGCATGAAATATTTTTAACAATCTGCTTGGGTAAAATATTAAATTTACTATTAAAAAAAAAACCTCATAAGCTAATAGTAAAATAATCATGAATTTTTTAAGATTATAATTCTTTTCTTATTCTGTTGAAAAATTTTCTATATTCTATTTTATTCTCGTCTAAAGTAGACATAGTAAAATTAAAATTGAGAACATTAAATGACATCTAATTCAATATATAACAAGGGAAAAAATAGGATATAAAATTAATAGTATAACAAATGAAACAAAAGACTAAAAATTTGTTAATACTTTTCTTGAAAGAAAAAGTTAATCCAAGAAAGAATAAGTAATGAGTCAAATACTAACATAGTACAAATTGCTATACTAATTTGGAATAATATTGCATAATCACTTGCTAACAAATAAAGTTTGTCCAAAGCACTAGAATATTAAAGAAACAAATTTTTTTATATAACAAGTTTTAAAATAATGGTTTTCTCTAAATACAGGAAACCTAAAAAAACACCTTTGCTAACAATAGGTACTCAGAAAAATTTAATTAAAAATAAATAATTACCTGATTAAAATGTTTATTTTTCTACAATTATGTATAAAAATCAACAGAAAGTTATAATATTGTTTTAAACATTTGTATATATGGTTTTTTTATTAATATTAACAAAATTAACCAAAAGTTTATTCGAGATGAATTTCAAAATACCAATACTATACTATTCTATAAAAAATAAGTATATTATTTATTAATTAAAATGTTTTTTAAATATTATATTTCATTAATATGCTCTGATTAAATTATGCTAAATCGTAATTTTTAAATAATTCTATTTTTCTCATACTACCCCTAGGGATCGTAGGACCTTGCAGCTGGTGGGGTGGCTTAAAGGCCTAATCGGGGAGTACCTCTGGACCCCGTTCTTTCCCTCGTTGGTCGTTTGCGGCGGCCTGCTCCTCATAAGGGAGGGACCGCCCAATAGACCAGCTCCATGGAGTAGAGGGTAAGAATGGTGAGGAAGCAACCTTTGGGCGTTCAGAAATGATCACCACTGGAAGCGGAGGGGTGTACTGCCTGCGGGGCCCCAACTAAGAAACGGTCCCCCAATCCAAGATGTTTCTGCCGTGTCGATGGATGAATGGCACTAGGGTTACCAAATCTGTCGCTCACGACGGGCCGGCCGCCTGTCTGTCTCTCGGGATTGTACTGGTCGGTGAGTGATCCCGTAAAGCTCGGGGGAGCGATCCGGCTGGGGTTCCGGCAGGCGGGCGGGCGGCTGGTCTTGGCGTGATGTGAACGGAGGTGTCTTAAACGGCGGCTCCGGAACACCGGGCGACCTTCCGGTAGTATTAGCCTTACTCCTGCAAGCGGGGCTCTGCAGGAGTGGACTTTCTTTTCCCTGTGCAAATGGCCCCAATCAGAAGAAAGCGCCTTACCGGTTCTGAAAAGAAACGGTTAAGGAAAGAACGGCTAGCAGCCGGTGTAAACAACTCGGTTTCCTCGGGTGTTGCTACTGGGTCGAAGAGAAAGAGTGGCCAGGATGCATCACCTCTGGAAAAAAAAGAGGGTGTAAAAAGGCCAAAGTCGGTCCAACAGAGTACCAGGAGAGAGGGGTACAATGTTGAGCTAACAATGGCACAAAGGACAAATCCTCTAACGATGGTGGTCTATAGCGAGGGCTCCCTAGATGTGGCGCTCACTGATGAGCAGTTTGGACTTCTTAGGAAGACCGTTGTGACGCTCACCTGTGAGGAGCCGGTCGAAAGGTGGCCGCGTTTTGAGACTTCCTTCTGCAGAGGAGGAGTCTTTATCTTCATCGCTTCCAACCCGGAGGCTGTGGAATGGCTGACAAAATGTGTGGCCGACCATGAGCCCTGGAAGGGAGCGAGGTTGAAAATTGGTGGGGTTGAGATGCTCCAAAGAATGGTAAAGGCTACTGCGTGGTTCCCGGGAGAAACGGCGGACGCGCGGACGGTCTTGCGACATTTGGAGGCTTTCAACCCCACGTTGAAGACATCGACTTGGCGTTTGCTGAATGTTGATGGGTCTCAGGTGGCGAACAGGGGAGACAAGAGTTTTCTTCTTGTCGCTCAAGTCCCTGAAAGTCAGGCGAGGGCTATAGAGGCCCTCAAATTTAATCCTCACTATCACTTCGGGCTGATAACCTTTAAGGTAACTGTCCCTGATCGTGACGGCACAAGCAATGTAGAGGAGGGAGAAGAGCAAACATAATTCACTGTTTGCAAACTCTCCGCTATTCAGATTAACTTGCATCATAGCAAAGGCGCCTCATCAGTACTGACGAGGAGCATGGCTAAGTTGCACACAGGCATCTCACTAATCCAAGAACCATGGTTAGTAAGAGGTGTCATTAGGGGGCTTGGTGGGGTTGGTCTAGTTTGTTACAGGGACTGCAGAGCTGCCAAACCCAGAGCGTGCATTCTTACTAAGGGTGTCAACGCAACTCCACTATTGGATCTGTGTTCAGGGGACCTAATGGTGGTGGTAACTAACCTGGAGGGTATAGGTAAGACGGTCGTAGGATCGGCATATTTTCCATATGATAATAAAAATAATCCGCCAATTGAAGTTCGTAGGTTGGTGGACTACTGTATGGAAAAGGGACTTCCTCTGCTGCTGGGCTGCGATGCAAACTCACAACATACGGTGTGGGGGAGCTCAAAGGACAACCAGAGAGGACAGGAGCTACTGGAATATCTAATCGGAACGAATCTAGATATTCTCAACACGGGTTCGACCCCGACTTTTAGCAATGCGATTAGGCAGGAAGTGATTGATATCACTCTCTGCTCCAAAAGCATTGGAAATAAGGTAAGAAGATGGAAAGTTTCTAATGAACCTTCTCTTTCTGATCATTCACAGATAGTCTTCGAGGTGGAGTCTGCGGTCCGATCCGAAACTAAGTGGATTCGTAATCCCAGAAGGACGGATTGGGCTAGTTATATCTCAGAACTTCGAAGGACACTTTCTGGTTTACCGGGTAAGATAAGAGATTATCAGACCCTGGATGAGGCGGCCAATGATTTTACAAAGGCTATTAATGCAGCTTATGAAAGTAGCTGCAAACCGACAAAAGTATTCTCGGGAAAAGAGGTGTGCTGGTGGAACGAGAGATTAGAACATCTCAGGAGAGAAACCAGGAGACTCTTGGCTTGCCTGGTCCAGGAACACTTCCCGGGCTTTTAGAGGTCTGGGGAGGGCGGATCCGATCCTGAGCCGCCAACAAAACTTCCGCAGGCTGATTACCGGTCTCGGAGGCAGTTGGCTAACAGGATTGTGACTGCCGAGAGGATCAGATGGGCCACGGAATCTTTCAGCCCTTACAAGTCTTCGGGTCCTGATGGCGTCTACCCTGTCCTCTTGCAAAGAGCGATAGATGAGGCTGTTGGACCATTGGTAAGACTTGCTAGGGCGAGTCTGACTCTGGGATATGTCCCAGTAGCGTGGAGGGGTACAAAAGTTGTATTCATACCTAAAGCGGGCAAGAACGGTTATACCTCACCGAAGGATTTCCGTCCTATTAGCCTTACATCCTTTATCCTAAAATTAGTTGAAAGGTTGGTGGATAGATATATTCGCAGTGAGATTTTGGAGCGGTTCCCGCTACAAAAGGATCAATATGCGTATAGAGCGGGATGCTCTACGGAAACAGCTCTGGCTAGAGCAGTAGACCTAATTGATGGGCAACTGCAGAATCAGGGCTTTGCTGTGGGTGTTTTTATGGACATAGAAGGAGCTTTTAGTCAGGCCTCTCCGGAATCCATAAAAAGAGCTATGACAGCTTTTAATATTCCTACAGGAGTGGTTGATTGGACCTGTCATATGTTAAAAAACAGGAACCTCTTATCAACTAAAGGAGACTCAGTCCTGAAAGGGACAGTCAACTCTGGATGCCCGCAAGGAGGGGTTCTTTCACCCTTGCTCTGGTCCTTAGTAGTGGATGAACTACTGAGAATTCTGACCCAAAAAGCGTTAAACCTGGTAGATAAATGGTGTGAGAAGGTGGGTTTATCTGTAAATCCGGGGAAAACGGAAGCGGTTATCTTTACCAGACGGTACAAGTGGAAAGCCTCGTGCTCACTTACGCTGTCCGGAAAAGAGATCAAATACACAGAGCAGGCAAAATATCTAGGAGTAATCCTGGATAGCAAACTGCTCTGGAAAAAGCATTTAGAGGAAAAATGTAAGAAACTTACAGCTGCTCTTTGGCAATGTAGTAGGGCCATTTGTTGGGGTCTCAAACCGGATACACTATTGTGGATCTATGAAGCAATTCTGCTCCCTATTCTGACCTATGCTTGTGTGGTCTGGTGGGGTAGAGTTGAGCTAAAAACAGCACAAACAGAATTGGAAAGGGTAAGGGGGATGGTACTTAGAGGCATAACGGGGGCGGTGCGTACAACTCCCACTGCTGCCCTTGGTGCCCTCTTGGGGCTAGAACCCTTACACCTTACAATTAAAGCAGCGGCGGTTAAGGCTGCCCTGCGGTTGAGTGGTCCTGTGGGGTGCAGGGAGGTGGGCAGATGGCGTCTCCCAAAGAAATTGGTGAGAATCCCCCTTCTAAGTATGATTAGGGACAGAACTGTCCCTTTGTATCTCTTCGACAAAAAGTATAGGATTAATATACCTAGTAGAGAAGATTGGATAAATGGACTGACAAGTATTCCAGCTGACGGTGAAGTCTGGTACACAGATGGATCAAAAGGCGGGAATGGAGTCGGTGCAGGAATCTATCATGTAACCTTCCAAGTGGGACACTCCTTTAAGTTAGGGACCACTGTTACTGTGTTACAAGCCGAAATTGTGGCAATATTTTATGGTGCTGTTGAAGCCTTGAAGAATTGTCAC